AAACACCTAAACACCTCAACTGTTCAAACACTACACTTCGCCCCTCACTTTCTTAGTTTCCCATCGCCCAACACCCTCTGTACGGTCTCCAGCAAAGCCAATTTTATTTCAAATATATCTTAAATCATTTTTTGGCTAAAAACCTTACAAATTTCAAAAGATTCATATTAGTGGCATACTGGTATCTCTCTCGATGGGCCAAATGTGTTTTGTTTATGGGAAATTGCATAAATTGGCATGTATCATCGGTCCAAAGGTTATTCTTTCTCCACATGACTAATCAAATGATCACTCAAGTGAATTATTCAAATTATTACTTATTTGGAGATGAGAAATTTTGAAAATGTCACCTACTTTCTGTAGGAATGTAAATGGCATCTCCGCCCACCTCCTATGTGTAGGGCTGACAATGGGCCAATTTGCGAGTCCTTGAAAAACCACGATTCAACCCACTAAAGTTGGCCTTAGAGCCAAGTTGGGGCAGCCTAGGCATTTGATCGCAAATTTTTGTACGACCCAGTTTCTTATCGTTTTCTAAGTTCCTTTCTTGCTAAATCCTTTGAGATTCTACCCTGCTTGAACTGGTCCAAGTTGTAGTCAAGGCTTCTTAACAAGATTGGGCTAGGGCCCCATCAGCCTAGTGTGGGCTAGGGTGAACCAGCCCGTGCCTTTGCCAACCTTACACAAAAAGCTCCTAGGCAAGGAGCACAAGATAGATCACCCGAAAGCTCGAAACCAACATAATTATCACTTCTAGAAGTGGGCATGAGCTCATTTGTGACAAAGAACCATGCACCTACTCTTTGGGAGTTGTTTAGAGTAGTGTTACAAGAATCAGACTGATCATTGAATGGATGATGTGGCCGAAAAGCACATCCCAACTTTGTTTAGCCATCTAGCGAATAAAAATTGACTAAACCAACCAATCAAAACTAGCCAACTGTTAATTTTGGTTAACTTTCAATCAATCCACTTCTTTAGCCTAGGCCAATTAAGGCACTAATCAACAATTCATCAAATCAAATATAATCTTGACAATCTTGGTACACATGGGTTGCTCTGAGGTACAAACTGTTGGGTGTCCCGTCCCATGGTGGGAGGGCACCAATGGAATTGTCCAATATTTAAAAGAGTAGTTTGGGAAAGTGAAAGAGGGTGACTTGTTGACCAAGTCATCATACCACAAAAAATAAGATCTCACGTATGGGTTTGGTATGGGGAGATATTCTTCTTATCTCTTTCCATAAAGGGAGATAGAGATGGACCTCCCTTTAGGAGGTTATGGGATGCACTTCTAAATTTACTTGTTATGCCTTGGCTCATACACAACAAGAAAATACATCGAGACTCTTTGTGTGGTTGACTCTTCTTTGTTGTATTGAGGAAAAATACAGGCATCCTTCTTTTACAGAGAAGAAGAAGAAGAAGAGAGAGAGAAAGTTGCCCTTCTCCTAGAGAGAAGAAGAAAAGATAAGTCTCAAGAAGAAACCAGAGAGCCTAAGAAAACTTGTTTTCTTGGATGACCATTGTAACGTGTGAAGTTTATAGTGGATTTGATCTCCTTTCTCCCATGGACGTAGCCTGAAAAAGTGCCAGTAAGATTTATTCTTTATTTATTTTATTGCATATCTTTTCACTCAACACACATACATCGGTTTTGGCTTAATTTGTTTGACTTATTTCTTGGTTCCGCTGCTTGCATCCGCAATCGTGCGAGAGGGCTCTAACTAGGGGAGCCCAACACAAACTTACCGCTCGAGTGGGTAATCCATGCTTCTTATGTAGGAAAGCATTCGAAACTCAAGATCATATCATCATGTAACACCTTTCATGCAAGGAATATTTAACTATGTATGTTGTGCTTGAGATCTAACGCTCTGCTCCATCTAGTCTAGGTTAGAGAGCACAAGAACAAGACTATTTTCCATCCATGGGTAATGTAACAAGTTGGGCCCTGGGTCCTGTAACTCAAGCACTTAGGTCCATGGGCCAGGTTTAGGAAACGCATAACCGGTCTGAGTAACTAGCTCGATTCGGGTAGGTACTAGCTGGGCTAAAATTGATTAATTTTTTTTTAAAAAAAAAAAAAAAGGAAAAAAGAAAAGGAAAAGTATGTCTAAAGTATAATTAAACAAAATACATCCAAATGAGAGTAAATAAAGTAATGAAAAAATTGATTTGAAAAATCAATTTGGCCTAGGGGTAGTTTAGAAATAATCTAAAAAAGAAGGAAAAATGTAAAACTAAGTATTTACGGCCAAAATACTTCCCAATCATTTTCAAAACTAGCAATTCTAGGTAACTAGGCTGCGTCCGGGTTGACCTGGCCAGTTTTGCAAACACTACTTAGGTCATGATCCCACTATAAATTTTGTCTTTTAAGGCAATAGAAAGGGGTGGGTCCCTTTAAGATCCGTGGCTAACCTAGCCAAAACAAGACATGATTATTGCATATCATTCCTTTTCCTAGAGCTATCATAAGTTAAGAAAGTTGGGAAACGTCAATTTATTTTCACATTTTGAAGAGAAATTAAGGTTTTGATTCATCATCATCTAAATATTATCCCAATTACTTGAGGTTGGCTACATGAATCTTGTTCCTTCATTCTTCTCTATTAATGGTCAAATAGAATTTGAATACAAACCTTAATTATGGTTCAAGATTTCAAAGATATAATGATGAAAAAACAAAAAACAAAAAAAGAGCAAATAAAAGAGGAAAACATATTATCAAAATAATGCTAATAAGGTGGATGAGGTGGATGAGTATCCCTGAGATCAGGTAAGTAGGTTTCTCATATATCTGTTGGAGAAAAAGGAACGTTGGCTTATCGTCTTCCTATAAATATGGGAAGCCAAAGCGAGGAAGACATAACAAAAAAAACATAGAACAAAGAAAATACAAAGCGTATTATGAAAGATAGTTTTTCTTTAATTAAAAGTTTTTCCCCAACTAAGAAAACAAGACGGTGTTTATTGTAATAGATTGTATACAATTAGACTATTTACTTTTGGTTTAGGGAGGTCACAATTGTTTACAATTATTCGATGTGAAATCTGATAGCTTGGGTGTATCACAATGTTCGAGAAAAGTTCGTTTGAACTTTGAGCTTGGTCAATGAAATAAATGTAGCCACCCAATTTCACATCCAATGGTCAAGATTAATTGTGACCACCTTGTACCAAAGATAAATGGTCTCATTATATACTTTTCCTTATTGTAAAGCCTATTCTTTTATCCACAACTCTTTAAAAGATTAGCATGTATATCTTAATTTAAGAGATTGCTTGGAACTTTTCAACGATATGCATGTAGCCTCACTCACTATATCTCAGCCACTTAGGGTTCACAATAAAAAGGGAGAAGATAATTACAATAAGACAATAAAGGAAGGGAGTTTGCTGTTTTTTACTGCAATCACCTAAGTTTTTTGGGTGTAGTCATCCAACAAAAAACGTTTCTTGGGTGTAGTCATTCAACAAAAAAAAAATCCCTCATCACCCAAGTATTGGGGTTTGCAAGATATAGTTTAACTCATATATATTTATGTTATCTGTAATATACAGTAAACAACCAACCTACTGATTCATTTTATTTATTCTCTCCCTTTTCTCTCACTTCTTCCTGTTTGTTGACAATCAACATCTCCCCTTTCTATTTGACTACATTAATTACTATCAATGGTGGTCCGTCTGTGTTGATTTGGTGGTCGCTCACAAGGACTTGGTCTCTGTCTCTTTTGTTGCAATCATACCACCATTTGTTTTATTTTATTTGAGAGATGAATGCATCATTGGCATCCCATACTACAATAGAAGGATTTGCGAGCAGGCGGAAGTTGGGTGAATTTAGAAGACTTATCATTTTTTTATTGTTGCTGATATTGAATGCAATTAATGCATTTACTGTTTTGGTGTGATATAGAAATTGATTTGTCTTCTAATGTGAAACACATACTTGATATTTGTTCCTTTATTGTAAGGGCTCACACACCCTTGATTTGCTCATACGCCCCAAATAATTAAAATAAAAGGGAATTATATATTTATATTTAGTAATTGCAGTACTTGCTTATTGATTGGGAATTTCTCTATTTCATTGAATTTTTAAGGTATTACTTGATAACTGATATTGGTTATGAAGTTAATTGTAGCTCTCTCTGTACAGATATTGACCACATATTAAATAATTTTGGTTCCGTATTTAACTTCTTTTAACAATCTCATTTGTTTAGAACTTAAAAAGAAGTTCAGTTGTTAAAACATAACTTAACAAATGGCCAGTAGAATAGTAATGGTGAACTTTCAATAATTGAAACATTGAATGGAATCAATTTTGGTATGTAGAAGATGAAGATGGAATATCTTCTCATCCAATATACGTACTAAAGGAAGATCCACCAGTAGTTGGTGATAAACCAGCTGAAGAAGAAAATAAAAAGTTTGAAAATTTCTTAGAATATGACCTCATAACTGAAACATCAATGTTAACTTTTATGCAAGATGAACTTATTAACGTTTTTAAACATCATGAAACATCTAAGAATATAATGGATGGAATAAAAACAAAATATGACTCAACCACTGAAACATACATCCAATTATTATTAGAGCAATATAACTCATTTTACAAACATCAAAGTATTATCAGTAAGCAGAAACTCAATCTTACATGTTTACCGTGGCCATAATTCATTGATCTTTGTTTCGCAATGGCCAAATTACAAAAATCACAAAAAACTTAGGCCGTTTGACAAAACACAATATAAATATTCAATTTTTTAAAAATATGAATAAAGGCATTGGCCGTTTTGCATAGTTTTGAATTGTATATTATTCTAATATATCTTCTTTTATACATATTTGGCTATAATTTTCTTAGATAAAAAAATTGCCTTTTCTTTCTCTATCTCCACCTCTCTTTCTCTCTAAAAGCTTAAATAGGGTGTCCTTTTCTACTATGAACTTTTCCCCCTTTTATGAAGGAACAGAGCGCTTACCTCATCTAGATCCTCTCTTGAAGTTGCGAGGATTTCTGCACATTGCTTTCATGAAACCACCATCTACACCTCTCCAACCTCTCTCTCTCTCTCTAAAATTTTGAGGAAAAAATCTCTACCCTTTTGTGGGTTTTCTCTCCCCTATGCCATTGTCACCAAAATCTTCATTTGCATGAATAACTCCCTAGATTTTGTACAACCTGAAATTTCTATAAGAGCTTGAAAAGAGAGAACATGATATGATACTCGATGGCCACAAATGAGGGCTAGGGCTTGAAGAAGAAAGCAAAAACAAGAGGAGAGAGAGGGGCTGGTTACAGAGAGAGACAGAGAGACAACAACAAGAACAAACAGAGATAAGTAGAAAGCGGGTTTACATAGAGAAAAAAGGGTAAGGGCTTGTGAGAGGGACAAGGGCCTAAAGAGAAAAAGGGTTCGGCTCGGCTAGGAGAGAGAGCGAGAAAGAGAGACAGAGAGAGCGAGAGAGAGAGAGAGGGCTTGAGTAGAGAGGATGCTTGGGGTTGCAGAGAGAGATGAGGTGCTACGCTAGGGTTTAGAGAGAGAGAAAGAGAGGGAGCTTAGGTAGAGAGAGAAACCTTGGGATTCCAACACCTTCCTGTTAGTGCCTCCTCAAGAAACCCATGATGCTGCCTATTTTCTTCCATGCTAAAGTCTAATGACTTTATTCTTACTAAGGGGCTTCAAGGGTTCTCTTGCTCTATCTAATCTCAGATCTTGACAAGAACGTCAATGGTGAAGCCATTATGATGTTCCTCTTTCTCTCGTTCCTCTCCCAGTCGTTCATTGCATCATTAGAGAGAGAGATAGTAAGAATAGGAGGGCTTTCATGGGTTCGTGCGAGTGTGAGTGAAGCATAAGCCAAAAACTGACGGAAAAAATGAATCCTGCTAAATTCAAGTAAGACTTGAATTTTGTGGGATCTTAATAATTGACAGCTATTAAGATTTTAAAGAGTATTGTTTTGTATAATGAAACAGTCACAAGCTCTTTCAATATCTTTTAAGATCATTATTATTATGGATTCTACAATATCCCAAAATATTAAGATCTTGCAGGGTCATCAAATATATATATATATATATGAGCAATGATTTCATGCAACGGTTGCAGCATAATATAATGCAACAAGCTTCAAAAATGTTATGCCCATTTGTTTGATCCAAAATTTGAAATATACACTCTTTTCATTTTAATGAACAATCACAAAAAAAAGAAAAATTGAAAACACAACCTAGAAAGTATTTTTTTAGCCCAATTAATATAGGCCGTTCATTTTAATGAGATGCTTAGATCTAGGACTTAGAAGGATTTTTTCATTTCCAATCTTTTTGGATGACTTTATTATCATTAGATGAACAATGTTAAAACAGAAAAAAAAAAAGGATTTTGAGTTTATAAAAGCTAAGATCTTGAAATTCACCAAATGAATGGTCTAGATTCGTTTTTGGAAGGGACTCATTTTGACCATATCTAGGGTTCAAATTGAATTTTTTTTTTTGGGATTGATAATTGAGATGAAGAGAGTGTGTGTGCCAAATTTTGGGCCATACAAATAACACAAACATGGTTTTCTAGAAGTATTGTTGCATTATACTATTATGCAACTATTGCATGAAATCATTGCTATATATATATATATATATATATATATATATATAACTATTTGAAAAAATAGGTAGGGGCATATCTTTCTCACTGAATTACTCAAAAAATAGAACAATGACTCTTCCTCAGTCATTAATATGAAAGTAAATCCCAATAAAAAATTTCAGAGGCTATCGACTTAACTGTGGCCAACATAAAGAGTTTCAATTCGCTACTACCAAATCAAATAGATGTGTTTCAAGTCCAAATATCGGCACTATGTTATTGCCAATCTGCCGAAATTGAGTTCCTTAGTCTACCAAAGATACAAGTTGCTTCTTAGCTGCCCGAAAACTGAGTTTTGTCCTAGACGGGGTCACATTACCTTATCAAGCACAATGATGGTGACAACAATGAAAACACCAGAAAGTTGCAACTACGCGAAAAAAATAATGAGTAACAAGTTCGCTATAACAACTAAATCTTTAGTCTCAAAACTTTTTTTTTTTGAACTGAATATTTTCTTAGAAGTTTTGAGATACGGATTTAAAAAATTACAGCAGTCAGAAATATTTTACCATTTAGTAAACTAATATTAGGAATTAAATAACAATTGGAACAAATTTTCAATGTCTGCATTATCTTCTCTTTTCTTAAAGCTATAGACAACCTTAGGAAACCCTAAGGAGATCAAAGAAGATGCCAGGGTTAAAAATTTTCGTACTACAAAACCCCTGAAGTTAAGTGGCATGGCCAGAAAATCCAACTCAAGTTTCAAGCTTATGTAACTCATCGACATCTTACGCCGAAAACCCGAAGAGGAAAAATGCCTTAGGTGGGTGAGCGCGATAAGCGTAGTGACTTGGAGGGATAGTTGATATGCCCTTTGACCACGTGACCCCAAGAAGAAATCTTTGACGTTCACCTGCCCCTCGAAGGACAGGGAATGCCAGAGTGTCTACTTCATTACCACTTCCCTCGAAGGACAAGGAGTGCCAAAGAGGGGCAACTGTAGACACTCCATTTTAAATCTGGCAAATTCTATGGTTTCTTGAACCCCTAGTAAACCCAAATCTTGTAGTTCACACAGCCTACCTTTTGACCCAAAACCAATCTGCCAGCCCGGAACCCTGTAGAAACCCTGTTTTGACCCAGATTTCTGTAAAAACCATGTTTTACCAAAAAATTCATTAAAAATAGTAAAAAAAATCTGTTTTGGCCCAAATTTTCTCTACGAGCTTCACAAGAGGCTTAGGAAGACACCCAAATTGAAAAACATCACTTTGGACAAGTTTTGTTTTAGGCGACCTGGGCGTGCCGCTCAGGCGACACAGGGCATGTCGCCCAAGTCATCTTACAATTGCTCAGGTTTACCAAAATAATCATTAAAAATAGTAAAAAAATCCATTTTGATCCAAAATTTCTCTGAGAGCTTCACAAAAGGCTGAGGAAAACACCAAAAATAAAAAGTCTCAATTTGGATCACAATTGGTGTGTGCGACACTGGACGTGCCGCTCAGCCTTAAGCGACACAAGGCATGCCACCCCGGCAACACGGGGTGTGCCACCCAGGCAACACGACCCGTGCCGCCAAGGCGACATGACCCGTGCTTCTCGGGTGACACGACCCATGTCACCCAAATCCGTGACTCTCAAAATTTGACATTTTGACTGGGGATTTGCTTGTTACAAGTGCTTATCTTTCCCAATGAGCTTTGACCCCTATAAGGCCTCTTTTTGTGGTCATTTGACAAGAGAGAGAGAGAGAGAGAGAGAGAGAGAGAGAGAAACCCTGAATAAAGAGAAAAACCCTAGGATACATGTAGAAAACTCAAAAATATGAGAAACCCTAGGGATAGCTTCAGGAAACCCCCAGCCTCTTGGAACTTCAACCCTTAAGCTTGAGAGAGCCTATATCTAAGACACCTAGAACCATCTAAAGGGCACAACCACCCTATACTGAAGAGACTTGTTGGCTAATATCCATATCAGAGAGACAAAAGAGGACCGATTATGATATGAGCGAGCTCCAGAAGGCTAGGGAGTCTCGGGCCATCTGGCCCGGTTCGATATCATTTTCTTCCATTTTATCTCTTTTGCTTTTAATGTTTTCATTTTATTTGGATCCGTTGGTTTACTTAAAAATCGTATTTTGTAATGGCTTAGATCATGCTGGCTCTGCCACAGATCTAAGAGTAGATCTGCTCGTTTTTTGGCAGATTTGGCATCAGATCTAAATTCGATTTATCCCACTTTCTTTACCATTTCATTTTCATTAGTTTAAGGTGTCAGACCCGAAAGATCTTCATTGGAAGATCTGTTTGATTTTGCATCATAAACAACTAGCAGTTGAGGCACATTGCAGATGGCAATACAATAATGCACATTGCAGATGGCAATACAATAATGACAAAGGTGTGGTGCAATTATGCTTTTTGCCAAATGCTGTAAGGATAGACAAATGATTTGTAGACCTTTCTATCTCATTAACGGTGGAGACCAGCTGAACACCATCAAGTTTGACGGATGGATGGTGTTGTAGAGACAGTGAGGCAGATCAAGACGTAAAGGAATCGGAGTGGTGGTCTTCCTCTCTTGCCAATAATATCCATCCCTTAAGTCAATGGTGTTAGGCTGGTTTCAACCCCTGTTTAGGTACATTTGGATCGGTTGTCATCCCTATGGACTAATGGAAAATTGTTTCATGCGGGCTGGACCGCATTTGTACATATGTGGTTTGGACTATATTTGTACTTATATGGTCTAGAAATTGCAAAGCATCCATGTTAAAGATGGATGCAAGTAGGTGTTCCATCTAAAAACAATGGAAACTAACGGTCCAAATGTTTTCTAACTAGAATTATTATTTTTAGTTCTTAAAATTTATTTGTTTTTTTCATATTCATGATCTCCATTTTAGAGATTACATGTCTTTAAAAATTAAGTCTTAAAATCTATCTCAAAAATAGATTGATTAAAAGGCCCACATTTCTACATATGCGGGCTTGGCCGCATAGAAAGCGGGTCCTAGACTAACATATGTTTTGTATATTATGAAATAGAAATAGAATGCTAATAAGGTTGTAATTATAAACTAATTGTGTACTTGATTAGCAGGGTCTACACTCTGGCATTGGCGGTATCGGAAAAAATAAAAATACGTGGGTAACTCTCCTCCCACAATAGAGACTCTAACGCTCTTCTTTTCAACAAGATAAGAGCTTCCTTTCTACAATCCGTATGGGCTTGTCCTTCAAACATATTGTTAAAGCGCACAAATCCTTCAATATGGCCCCATGATTTCTATAAATTTTCACTTTTCTCATTTAATATGCTTATTTTATTTCTTTTTGATAAGTCATAAGATTAATGGGTATTGGTGTGCTAAATTATTTATTTTGGTGGCTTTCTTATTGCACAAGAATCTTCTATGTATTGTGTTCCCCACTTCATTATCAGCAGCTATTTGCTAATTTACTCAATGATTTCATAAAAGCTTTAGGTTATGTTTTATGGTTTATCATGGCATGAATATTTCTCTCTATATCTCCCATAATGGTTTCGTTTCATTGTTGTGGTAGAAATAATAGTGGTAGTTAGTAGTAGTACTAGAAATATTTGGAGAATATTTTTGTTTAAAACAACAAACAAAAGCCATATAAATTAAATTCCATCTTAATACATTATTAGCAATTGTGTTATTTATTTATTGCATCGTAGTTGTATAACCAGAAAAATGGTAGACATAGTTGTTTGTACTAATTTTCTTTGGAGTACTAATTGTAGAAGAAATTGAACAAACGATAATATCTTGTAAAAAATGAGTTCCATTTGGCTACTATTTTTTGAACTATATTTAACTTATGGTCACAGTTTTCAATTTTTTCAAAGGAACATTTATTTATGTTTTTAATGCTTCTTAAATTTATTAAATACAATTTTTATATTTAGTTAAAGTTACAAATTAAGCATTGTGACAAATTTTTAATTTTCTATACAATTTTTAAATATTAAAAACACTATGTTGTTTAACTAACAAAAATAGGAAACCAACTGTATTTCTTCCCCTTTTCTTTTTAAGAATTTACAATCTAAGTGTAAAGTCTTATGCTTCAAAAATATTTAATGACGAATTTTTTATTATGATTTTTTAGTATTTAAAAAAATTTAGTCAATTGTGTGTTCCTTTTCCAATATTTTTAAAGTTTCCCCCCAGTTGTTCTTTTAGATAGAAAATTAGTTTTCAAATCTATAATCTATATAACATGACGTGGTTTGTGGCACATA